CCGTCATCCGGCCCGAGCAACGATAGCATGTTCTCCATGAGCTCGAGCGCGGTACCGCCACCCAAGCCTGACAGGTTGAGGAGCTTTTCTGCTCGTTCAGCATCGGAGAGGGCATAGCGCCGAAGAAGCAGCTCTTTGAGGGCAGCGTATTTCCCTTGGGCGGGTGGGTCCCGGAGGAGCGTCATCGCGCGACGGGTGGCCAGCGGGTTGAGCGAGGCCACCACATGGTGATACTTTGTGTCGTCAGCGGAGATGCCGCGAAGGGCGAACTGAGCCTCCACGTGTACGAACCATGACGGGGGGTCATGGAGCCAAAAGTCCGGCAGTTTCAGCGCCACAGCGAACGTAGCTGCAACAGGAGGCGGAGGTCCGGCGGCCGCTGATGCATCCATAGCGGAGTCTGCGTTATCTGCGGCCCGTTGCATGCTCGAGTCAGGGGTCACCAATGTGGAGGTAAGCATCAACGACACAGAGCTCTCAGTTCTCACTCCTTCTTTATTCGTCTCCAACATCAACTGAACATATCGCGCCACAAAACACAGGAACACACTTCCTCAACAGTGGGTGTGAGTGGAGCCCTCTAGTGGTCCGCCACAATATTGGTTTAATTTTTTGACCTTTATTCAATGTTTAGCCAACCTAGGTACCAATGTCCCCCAAGGCATTGTGAAGTTGCGAAGTTTGAAGATGAATTACAAATAATTGTGGGTAATATGAAGTTTTTACTGATTTTGACATTTGGTGTTGGTGTTGACTTGACCCAATTTTCACCAAAATTAAATCAGCTCGAGCTGATATTGGTAGCTACCACCACACAAACTGTAATTAGAATGTTGATATCTTAATAACTGTGGACTCTAGACTGCTAACAAACAGACAAAAAAGTGAACAGAATAATCTCTCTGATCTCTCTTTCTGGTGGGAGAATTAAATATAATAAACAGTGAGCTAAGGGGCATTAAATGCCCAGTACATTTAAGTATGTACTTAAAAATACCTGGGGGGAAAAACACTTGCCACTTTTTGAGCAAAAAAACAACAAACCTGAGAGCAGCATGGGGTCCTTATCCACAGATTTGCGTACATGGTCAGACTCTCCGGTAAGAGAGCTCTCATCTATCTTCAGATCATTTCCTTGGACCAAGATACCATCAGCTGGCAGTAGGTCACCTGAACATAGACATACACATATCAGTGTTTTACTCAGCTTGCTTGCATTATATATCCTCACTATTACTGCACAGCACCAATTAAATTCACTTGACTTTAACTGCTTTTTATGCCATTTCCCTCTCTCGCTGTCTCTTTTTTTCTCACTGCAGATAGTATCCCCATCAATGCATGCATGCAAATGGCGTGACATAAATTCTACAACAAACACAAGAAGGAACAATAAATGTATGGAATGGATGGTGTTCTTGATTATTTGTGTCTGCTCGTTTCAGTGGTCACTGTGGCTGGTAGCTTGACTAATGAAAAATGCCTTACCTAAAAAAAAAAAGCTTTTAAACTCTTTACTCTGTGGCAAGAAGTATAATCATTTAAAAAATAATTACTTTCTATCAATGAGAAGAGTGTCCAAAATTTGAGTGTACACGTGTGCATTCACTGTTGAGGTTTTGATTGCCATCTTCCCCTGGTTCTTTACCTGACATGCAAACCCATATTATAAATGAGTGGGGAAATGTCAGTGATATTTTTATGTTTTAGCATGACACAAATGATTAGCATCATCTAAAGGACATTTGTGATTCATAACTGAAATCAGTGTTATTCAATCATCCACAATCCAGGGTTGATTCTCTTTCCTTCTATGACCTTCACATTTTCTTTTAGACACTGCTGATTTGGAAAAAACAACATCCCACTCATTTTACAGGCTGTCATTCTGGATGCTTGAAGCTTTGCCTCGATTTCTCACTTCCAGTCCCAGCATCAACAGAGAGTATCAATAGCTAATGGTATCTTTGGTCCCAGTCATAGAGACTTAGAGACTTGTTTGGTGATTACCTGGCAAACACTGATCATTAGGGTAAAGTATTCCCCGCAAGTGGTTGCTGAAGGTTCCTTGCTGTCTCTATGATTTTAGCTGAACCACAGTCATGCAGGCCTACAGAATGATCAGTGGCTCCAAGCCATGAAAAGTGTGTTTCTGGGTGGTTGGTGGTTGTTTGCTGACACTAGGTAAATTGGTCACAAAAAGGTATATGGTGATTCACCATGGTCTCCTGGTGACCAAATTACATGGAGGTTAATGGTGCAGCAGCTTCTTTGTGACCAATTTGACCTAGCAATATAAGCAACTTCCAGCAACCAGCTGGTCGGAAAGGCACATTTTTCCCTAGTGATCAGAATTTGCCAGGACTGTCTCTAGGCATGTGTGACTGAGGCCTTACCTAAAAAAAAAAAACCCTAAACATATCTGAGTGCAAATACTGGTTAGCTAACCTGTTGAATTATTGTCATTATTGAACAAGCTAGCACAAGCATATGTATGACGTCAAATAGTATTGATTTTAGCCATAAGGAAATCATATAATGAGCTAAAGTGAAAATGGTGCCTAGCATTGGTTAATATTAAGTTAACTTAACACCATCTTATACAATATCTATCATATCTCAGTTGTTGTACAAGATACATAACACACAGTACATAAAACAGAGCATCGTGCATGTCTCATCACTGTTTTGGATGACAGTAGCAGACACATGAAGTCGACACAGGCAATAGTGTTGATGTGGTTCATTTATTGCTATGGGTGTCTATAATTGCAATGGTTTTCTGAGGTTACACAGAGCTCCCCTAACAGCATACATTACATCTGTGTTTTACTAAACTGAGGTAGGTTTTGTGAATTTTGTACGTCAGCTTTCATTCTTTATCAGATATGTTTGTGATTGACTCTTGTGATTAAGTTTTATTTTATCTGCAGTGTCCTTAGATCTAAATCTAAATTAATCAAAATACTTACAAAAATGAAACTGAACAAATCATTTAATTTGTTGGTATGTTGTTGGGTTTTTTGTATGGGAAGATCTTATAATGGATTCCTTACCATATTTGACCTGAGCCATGTCCCCCACCACCATGTCAGCCACAGGGATCTGGATGACGTTTCCTTTTCGCACAACAGTGAACTTCTGCTCTTGCTCAATTCGACTCTGTAGACCCCGGAACTGCTTCTCTTTGGACCAGTCGTTAAACGCTGTCACCAAGACAACACACACAACAGAAAGCAGGATGGCAGCGCCCTCAATCCAGCCAGCATCTGCCTCGCCTTCATCCTCTGCACCCGCCGACACATTCCCGCATGCTGAAGATGGAGCAATTGTTTAGAGTCAGATATTTTTTGAACATGCCTCAGAAAATCAATAGTTGTTTTCCCAAAAAATATCTAATTTCAAATGGGGAGGAAAATAACAGGGGGAAATATAATCAAATGGTCCACAAGAAAAACTGATATTAGGTAAATATTAAAACCTCATCATTGTTTCTGGTGAGTCACAGAGAGCAAAACAATATGGCTTAAGCTTAGAAGTGCAGAGGCTACTTTTGACTGCTATTTTCAGCATCATCTAATGACTACACATGGTCATTGCTCTTTTTAATTTGCATGTGTGGCTGGTTTAACACAGAGCCACAGTGTCCCATATCTGCATCCTCTGATGAGACCACTTCCTCTCTATCATGACTCTTCATTGTCACTGAATGGCTCACCAAATCAAACAGACCCAATTTGGTGAGCCATTTCACTTTCTGTCTCTTCAGTTTTGTCCATTGTGTGCTTGTATTTTTCTTCCTTATATAAAAAGATTCTTATTTTTTTCACTCCTCTCTGATTTTACCAAACAACAGGAAAATCAACAGCAACAAAGTATAATATTTTGCTAAACAGAACATCTAGAGGCAACATTTGAGAATGTTTTGATGAAAGTACTTGTACATCTAAATGAGATAATAAAACAGCATGCGAATTTGTCACAAGAATAACTTAAATCATCCTGGTCTGATCCTGGGGTCTCTGTATACATAGACAATTTGATGTTTAAAAGTCTCAATGCTGATGCCATTTTGGGCATCAGCATCTTGGTCTTAGTTGGCATTAGTTGGCTAAAAAAGTAAATATGATAATAAATGAGCAGTTAACTTTGGGTAAAAAGAAAATCAGGACTAAAAAAAAATGTACTCGCTCTTGCACCAGGCTCTAAATTATGTTTATTTCTTCTCTAAAGTCTGGTATTATAGGTAGCATAGGACTCTATAGGGACTGACTCGCTTTTAGATCCACCATTCAAAGAATTTTTCTAGCTTATACAGCAATTTTCAATAAGCTGTAGCTGACATCACTGAACAGCTGGCTGACTTTAGTGCTTTTATAAACACTTAATCTAATCCTTTCTTACTTATGTGAGGCCAAAAAATAAATTAGTTAGTGGGGATTGTTACTATATTTAGCATTTTGCTTTTTTGTAATATTTGAAAGTCTAGATTAAGTTTAACAGAAATAAAACACGTTCAAGTTACTGCTGCATTATAATATTTGCTAACGCTAATAAAATTTGAAAACAGATAAAACTAAAAATAAATAACTTTGCATTTTTCTCAGTCCTAGCAGTCCTAGTCCTAGCAATTCTTCTTAGCTTTGCTTTAATATACTTTATATATTGGTTTCAGAATTTGATTTGACCAAGTCTTCTCAACTCAAGTTCCACTTCCTTTTTTCCAACAGCATTTAGTTTTTCACTAGCAGATTGGATTTGCATGAATTTAGCTCTTCTTTATTAACTTTTGACTTCTCTTTTTCAATTGCCATCAACATGTAAATGCAAGCTGGACCACAGTGCTGAGCAAAATGGCTTGCTTCAACCCTCTCCCTTTGTATTCTTTTCCAGTGTTTGTGTGTTTTCTTCATATAACCTTAACTTCTCCTCTGTCTTGTTCCTCCTCTCTTATTCTACTGTATGTATACTGACAATGTCTTACTTTTACTTCTCTCTATCTCATTTTCATTTTTCATGTCCACCCTTTTCACCATTGCTGACAGACCTTTTGTCACACCCTCCCAAACCAGCAACCACACCCTTTGTCCACATCCTCACATTCAGTTTCTTTTCCAGGAGGCTGGTAGAAGGAGAGGCCAAGGGAGATGATGGCAGCGGCCTCCAAAATGATAAGTGTGACATCCTGTAAGGCCTCCCACACAAGTTCCAGGAACGTCTTGGCCTTTTTGGGGGGAATGAAGTTTTGGCCGAAGGTTTGGCCCCGACGTTCCAGGTCTGCCGGCTCCCCACTGAGACCTGATAAAGGCAGTGGGAGGATGAGGCACGTGAGGCAAGACTGAGACAGAAAATGCAATTTCGTAAAATAAATGCTTTAAGATTTACATAGCCAAGTGAAAAAACAAAACACATTTGCATGCACAGATGTGCAAGTTTCATTCCTAAGTGAAGATATATGTGGAGATAAACCAACAGTGTACATAGGGACAGTAAGACACTTGGAATGCGACATACATGCACAAAGCATCACCCACACTAAATTTCACAAAAGCCCTTTGCCCAGTAAAATAATCTCAAAGTCTTTAAAAAATGTAGCTAAACATGGCTCTATATTTCGTTTGAGGATTTTGTGGACAAGAGACTAGGCATTGAGTCTTGTTGTACTCTCTCTGGGAATTTTAATGGGTGGTAGGGGGTGTCACCTGAGTCCACCTGAAATCAGGAGGGCTGTTGTTGTCAAAAGTCTATCTACACTCATCATGTGCATGGATATCATGGTTAATTTGGGTGTTTAATGACTTCTTTGAACTGTTCCTTTTCCAGGGTGGAATGATTGTACACCACATGTCATTATGACTTTAAATAAGTTTGAATTTATTTGGGATTTTCTCCAATATAGACAGAGTCAAAAGCATACATACAGACTTAAATATATACATACACGTAAATCTTTTAAGACGTGCTGCTCAGTGTTCTACAATTTCTTTTAACTACACAAGGCAATGGCCTATTAACATGATCGTGTTTGACTGTAACTGTAACTATCATCCAGCACAAAAAGGATATGTTTGAAATAACTAATCAATATTCAGGGAGAAGGGAGAAGTCAGTGAACTCAGTAAAGATTTACACAGATTAGGAAGGTCTTTGACAACGTCTGAAAGAAGAAACAGATGAGATCTGGCACTATATTAATTGACTTGAATTGAATTGAACAGAACTGAATTGAGATACATTTACTTACAATGTAAAGAATAACCCAAGAACCATCGAGGCTCAAGCTTGCTATGAACTAGTAAAGTAGTAACTACTGAAACATCTCTGACTGTCAGCAGTAAAGTGAATTTTGCACCGCTATGGACTGAGAGGGTGCCAACCAAGAAAAATTGGCACCTTCAAGCTCAACTGAAATTTGCAGTTGCCTTCTGGAGAAAAACAATTGAGCTACTTGGCCACAAGGATGAAATGCATGTTTAGAGGAGTAAAGGTGAGGCTTTCAGACCTAAGCACAATACCCGCTAGTGGTAGCCTCATGTTCTGAGGTTGTTAATAAATTAGATGGAATAATGGAGAACTACCTCCAAATTTTTCAACATTGCTTCAGATTAACAGTTAAATGGTTGAAATATGGACACAATTGGGTGGACAGACACAACAATGATCACAAACACACTGGTTTTTGAATGGATAACATTAAGCTAAGAATAATTAAGAACAATAAGCTAAGAATTGGCCTTCCTGAAACTACAACCTCAAACCTATGGAACGTTTGTGGATTATGCTGAAAAGCCAGATTCAGGAAATACAGCAAATTTAAATAAACCTGAAGAGATTGATCAACTATCCAAGAATTGTGCCAGCAGCTTGTTGATGGCTACCAAAAGTGTTAAGGTTCAACTTGCTTAGAGATATTTAAACAAATATTAATGGGAGCTCTATGTATTTTTGATCCTGTGTGAATTAGAGAAAATCCTAAATAAATTTACATTTAAAATTGTGCAGCCAGTTCTTTAAAAAGTAATTAAAGCTGTATGCTGTACAGCCATTCCACCCTGTAATCAAAGGCTCAAATTTACCATGACATTTATGCCCATGATGAGTGTACGCAAACTACTGACTACAACCATCCATCTATGAAGGTAATACATCTCCATACTCACCCTCCTCTCCCCTCCCTAAATGATTCCGTTTCCATAGTGACTAGGACATCAGGACCAGGGCTTCCTGTCTCTAAGAGGTTTCTGCCCAGCAACAGGTGATGTCATTTCTCCTGCATGGTAGGTTTGAAGCAGAATCATTTTTTTCTTTTGTGATTGGCCGCGGGGGATAGGAAATGGCAATTTGTATGCTACTGTGGTTGGCTGAGCTCAATGACTTGTGTGCGTGCATGCATGTGTGTGTTTTGAGACATCCTGCTCCAGCGCGCTTGCAGGAGAGGAGTCATATGTAGCTCCCAGCATTGCTGAAGAGTTGTGTGGCAACAGGAGAGAGAGAGAGAGAGAGAGAGAGAAAACAGGTGACCTTATGCTGAGTAATTGTATCCTCCTTTTATTAGTCCCACCTCTTCATTCTCTTCCATAGCCTCTCTACTCCTCCTCCTCTCTCTTTCTCCCTCACTCAATCTCCCCTTGATGTGTCCTTGACAATGCAGCAAGCTGTTCTAGCTTTTCCTCCTCAACCACATCACACACACACAGAGTTTATCTTATGCCCCCTTTCTCATCATTTCTTCTCCCATTCCATGTCTTCAGTCTTGGTATAATGGTCACACACTGCAGTGTTCTAGTATCCATACACTGTGCGTAAGTAAGAGAGAGAGAGAGAGTGCTTCCATGCTGATCGGTGGATCATGTTACAGATGATGTTCAGCATTAACTGCATCATAATGTATACTTGTGTGGTGTGTTTTCCCTGGTGTGTCTGTTCAACACTGTATATACCCATAGTCTCCAATCTGATCTGTCAATACACATTCCAGCTCTATGTTCGCCGTGATTGTAATCATAGAGAGCATAAGAAGCAGCTTTTGTTGGTGTGTCAGATCTGGAGCAGAAAATATTTCACGGAAATTATCAGCCACAAGTTTTTAAGCAGATCATTACAAGGTCTGCTTAAGAAAGATAGGAGCATCTTTCTTCATGTGTGTTTGCACTTTGGCTGCTTTGAGATGACACCATATGTGATTTGTGAAAGCGAGCACAGTGCAAGAGAAGATGGTCAAAGTGTGTGGAGATCACCATTTGTGTGTGTGTGTGTTTGTGTGTTGTTTGCCAACTGTGCTTTGTAGGGACATCTGCAGATACATGACACCGTGTCAGAGAGGGAGAGAGTGACCGTGTGTGTATTTATGTGTGTGTTTTTGCATTAGGTTTGTTGGGACTTGCTGCACTGACTCCTGCCCAGCTCACAGTATCAAATTAGCAACACTCAACACAGACTTACTGTAGCTCAACACCCACCACCCCTCTCATGTTTTTTCAATCTCTCTTCCCTGTCTCTCATTCTTACACACACATCTCACAGATTTTACTTACACTTGAGTACACACACACACACACACACACACTCTCTCTCTCTCTCTAACTTCTTGCTCTATTCACCTCTCTCTGTTCATCACCATCTCACTCTTCTTTCACTCTCTCTTGCTGACTTCCCAAGCCAACTTCTCTCTGCCGTTGTGTTGCTAGGTTACAAACTAGTTGAAGGAGTGGGCGTAGTGTGGTACCACACCCCTGGTAGAATACACAAGTGTGCGCATCTACACATTCAAAAATATTAAAGACACAAATATCCAAAATCTAGTTTGGCAAATTCATTATAACTTGATCTTTGGGAATCATGTGTGTCAGAAAAAGAGACTGCATGAAAAATTTACAGCACTGCAGAAGAAATTCGTTGCTTAATCAGTTAGTTGTATGAAAAGATCAGCTGACTTGTTTAGTGTTTCTCACACACACACTTTGCATGTTCTTTTTTTATCCGAGACAAGATGTAATCAACATAGTTTGGAATAATACACAAACTTTTATTTTGAATAAACTGGTTACCAGCTAACATAAGGTCTGTGTTGTAGCCAATTTGAACGTCCACCATTTGAAATGCAGCTGGCGATGGCAATTGTTCTGCTATATTGGATTTGGATTTCTGCTGCAAGTTGGAAGGTCAGTCTAACCAGAACCTGAACCAGCTGGAGAGCCAGCGATGCTGTGTTGTAGCTCACTGAGTCTGCAGAACGAAAAGAGGAATACTGTTGCCAGTGGCAGTGCAAGACTATAAAGATGAAATGAGAAGAACTCATAAGACAAACACCTGATTATTGTTATAATAATATTGTTATTATTATTTTTGCTATTATCATGCGATCGTGGCTCAAGAGTTGGGAGTTCGCCTTGTAATCGGAAGGTTGCCGGTTCGAACCCCGGCTTGGACAGTCTCGGCCGTTGTGTCCTTGGGCAAGACACTTCACCCGTTGCCTACTGGTGGTGGTCAGAGGGCCCGGTGGCGCCAGTGTCCGGCAGCCCCGCCTCTGTCAGTGCGCCCCAGGGTGGCTGTGGCTACAATGTAACTTGCCATCACCAGTGTGTGTGTGAATGGGTAGATGACTGTATGTGTAAAGCACTTTGGGGTCCTTAGGGACTAGTAAAGCGCTATACAAATAAAGGCCATTTACCATTATTATCATGTTACAATATATTGGTAGCATTATGAATTAATTTAAGAAAGCGTGGGTGCGCCTTTCACTCATGCACAGGAACACACATGCAAATGCAATACAATTTAATTCTGGGGGAAACACTTATTTATTAAGTTAAAGTTTGTCTCCTGGCATTGTCGATCTCCTTTTGTCTGCTAGAGTCTTTCTGAATAAGCAGCTGAATCAGTTTAAACACCTGAGAGGGGCAGGGAGGGCTAGCTGGTTAGCAGAACTATCAATATAACTGTGACAAAATTAATTCCTAGTTAATGTTTTTTCCTAAGTTAATCACAGATCAGCTGTTCACTATAGTGTATAAAAAGATAAAAGCTCAAAATACACTTGAGCCAGACATCATTCTACCTGGGCAACCCTACCAAAGTGTGATAAACGCTGACATTACATACTTAAAGGTTTCATACTCTGCCATGAATTATACGTGTGTAAAAGTAAACCTCCGTGTCCCTGAATAGGGGCAAATCTTTGAATATGTAATTTGGTTCAGTTCCATCTCCACCAACACCTACACCATTCACTCAAGCCTAGCTCCCCGCCTCCTCACAGACTGCAAGCTGTAATAATTCATCCATAATGTTCTACTCAG